TGGCTTTCAATGTTATTTAAAATAACATTGAAAGCCACTCAACTAAGTGGAAATAATATGATGTAAAGAATACAGAGAATAATTTTGTTTACATATTTATGAAAATAAAATTTTAATTACAAAATAACATAAAATACATAAAAGTAAATTTACTTTTCTGAGAATGTTTAGGCCAGCAGAGAAGGCCTTGCTGGCCCTCAGGGTCCGCCACTGTGTATAACTTTCCCATGCCCGCAGTGTAGCTTGGCGTCCTTGTAACAATCATCACCTAGAATTGGAATACTCCCTACTGAAGACGCACAAACTTTGGAATGCGCCAAGCTGAGAATCGGTTGAGGAGAAACGAAATTATGATATCACAATTTGTGTCTCGGTACCGCCCTTCTGATGGTATAAAAATGATGTGAATCTCTTGCTGCTTCGCACTCGTGACGCGCAGCCATTGTCTGTAATTCGTGGGTGCCCGGAATATTCTGTTATTAAAAGCTTTGAAGGAACTGTTCATCGACTCCAGCCTTTATTTGGATTACCAACATTCTCCTCGTCCGAAATTCAACGAACACGCGGGGGAGAGGAGGCCGCTCTTCCCCCAACACTTACAACTTAGATCGGGCTCTGTTTTGAGGAAGCATTATTTTGACTACAATATACCAATATATATTTAGAGATGAATGTGCTCGATGGTTAAGATGGGAAGAAACTCTTACATTGGATAACATGAGCTAGTGCTGCTAGACACATCGACATAATTAGCGATGCCATTCCTGGCCTGTGGTCACACCTGCTCTTCATAAAAACTACTTGGGTTACACCAAACACTTCAGTGATATCACCATTGTATAGAAAACTGATTAAAGTCAGTTTAACAGACTCGTGGAAAGTTAACTTTGGCAAGCTCGATGAATGCAACAGTTTATCGCAAAGTAGTTCAATGAGGACACTCACCTGAATAAAGTGCTTCTGTCTCAATGATGTCGTTCAACTGTGGGCAGGGACCGGAGGTGTGCAGCTCCTCCTTCGAGTGGCTGACGCATGCGTGACTCACTTGCTGCCCTCAATGAGCATGCGCATTCAAATTGAATTCAATTTAAGCAAAATGTACTTGGGTTTCTATGTTTTATGCGTCGTGTCTTTTAATTGTGTAAATGTTATGAGTGACTTTTGAGTGAATGTTACTCTTGTATTACAGTTTGTTCAGTGTATGAATACATTGTG